TGACATCGTGGTAATGTTTGTAGCGGTTGTGTTGGCGCTGCGAAATGGGAGCAGTTGAGATTTACGAGCCTCGTGTTTAGCTTTGGCGGTAGTTACGCGGTAGATCGCTGCGCCCGTCTTCATTGTCCTCCTACCGGCCGGTCGGTTCCCGGTGAGGTCTTCCTAACTGGCTGGGTTGATCTGCAGGCGCTTTAAGGAAGTCTTCAGAGTGTCCTTGTAGCTCCGAATTTGACCTCTTTGTCCGCGAGAACCCGTGGCGACGCCTCCACTTTGTCGTCGATTTTGGTGCGGCGAGATAGTGTGTTGCCCAGGTAGTTGAAGGTGTCCGTGGCTTGCAGTTGGGCGTCGTTCGCGTTGTTGTGAGGTGCAGCGTGGCAGCGTTGGGTGGCGGCTGGTGCATGGCCACCGTTTTCTCCGTGTTGTTAATCAGGTCAAATTTGTCGCAGGCGGAGGCGAAGATCATGCCGGCGGTGGCGCAATGACGGCGGAAACTGCGCTGCCCTTCCGACAGGCGCCCATGTTCCAGACAGGTGTTGAGGCGATTGTGGAGAACGCGGGCAAAGATATTTCCGGCGTTTTTGAGCAGCGAGATTCCTCTGTGTTTGGTGCAGAGTTGGCGGTTCCCTTTCCGCTTTTAGAGATGGATGATTGTTGTGTCCTTGAAATCCTGAGGAACTTGTCCATGACGCCACATCTCCTAGAAGAACGCCGCCAGATGATTCATAATTTGCGGGCCGCCATACATACAAATCTCAGCAGGGGTCGTGCCTGAGTTGTGGGGTTCCCGGTGGAAAGTTGCTGCACGGCCCTGAGGGTTTCGTGGAGAGAGGGCGGGAGGTCGAGGTCAGCGTCGGAGATGTTAGGGGGGCGGTTGAGGACGGCACTGATGTGTTAGGTCTGGCGCTTCAGAGTTTGTGCCTACTCGGTGAGTAGGGTAGTTCGTCGGCACTGGGAAGAGGAGCGGTTCCTTTGGCTTTGGGACCATAGACAGCATTGATCGCAGCGAAAACGTTCTTCCATTCGTTGTGGTCCGCGTATCTTTGGATCTCCTCGGCATTGGGAACCGTCTAGGCGTCCTGCATCCTACGCAGCCGCTGTTGCACAAGGCAGCGACTAGGTAGACGGCGGTTTTCCTTTCATCTGTAGGGCGGTTGATGTAGGCTTTGTGCAGACGGTTCTTTCCTGCGAGTAGGTTGCTGATGACGGCGTTATTGTCGTCGAACCAATCCTGATGTTGGCGGCGTGCGTGGCCGAGGACAGACAAGACGGTTGGCCTGACTTTGTCCCCCAGTTGGCACCATCGGTTCTCCACGGAGTCGTCCTCGTCGGCAGCGGTGACTGGAATGCTGGCTACCCGCCGAGTTAGCTCGTTGCTGAAATATATATGGTGAGCAGGGACATACAACAACTTAATGTTCAACTTACCTGATTGGCGCCTACCTTGAGGTTTCCTGCGTGGCTGTAGATGGATCCACCTCTTGGATATGACGAGGCAATGATTGATCCACCCATCGGCACCCGGGATCGCCTTTGTCACTAGCACGTCCTATTGGTCTCGCCTCCGGACTAGGACATAGTCTAGCAGGCGTCAGTATCGCGACCGAGGATGCATCGGGGCCGCTTTCTCCCGCGTCGGTAGGCGGAAGAAGGTGCTGGCTAGGATGAGACGGTGTTCTGCTCAGGTTCGTAGGAGCAGTAGGCCTTTGTCATTGGAGCAGCCGAGACCACGGATATCCAACACTCCTTTCCAGACAGCGTGGTCTGTGCCGATTCAGGCGTTGAAGTTACCAAGGACAATCTACTTATTCGCCTTCGACATAGTCACCAGGAGGGCGTGCAGGTCCTCGTAGAATTTGCTCCTTGCCGCATCGGAGCTGGTCATCCGGGGGCGTAGGCGCTGGCGGTGGTGCCGAATTTGTCTCCTCAGAGAGGCAGACGGAGGCTCATCAGTCGATCGTTTATGCTCTGCGACAGACAGTTGGCCTTGTTCGGAGAACCGAGTTCGCTGAGTGCAGTAATGTCAACCTTGTAGCTCGCCAGTTCTCGAGCCACTAGCGCCGTCCTCCGTTCC